TGGTGCGACCAGCTAGGAACGATATTTTACAACCCAGACAAAGATACAACAATCTTTGGGTTGCAAAATTGTCGGTATCCTCCTTTTACAGCAACCTTACATGTTAGAAAGCTAGAATGAGACAAAGCGATATAACAATGCTGCCCTAGCCGAGGTCCCAGTTATCCTAAGAAAAGAACCAGCAGGAACATTTATCACACGAGATTCGCATGCCGAACTGTAAGTTAACGACTATTTATCGCTAAAAATCTGCGTGCTGCATGAAACTTTGCAAAAACGTATGATTGTGCTCTCAACGCTAGTACGCACCACTACTGACTGTCAGTGACAGCGATGGATTCGAAATATATCAAAAGTATTTTACCATAACTAAGATGAATCTTCGCGTCACTTGTTTCGTTGCATCATCCTCTGCAATACTCTCCAGCTGGGTTATCTTATCCCAAAAAATATGAATCTTCTTCTTGGCGTCTTCTTTATTTCTTGTGGCAGTATCTTTTGGGAATGCCGCACGGTATGCCGTAACAACAGTCGACTTCAGCATCATAAGCTCACGAGTATCATTCAGTTCCTGTTCTCTACAAAATTATTTTCTTGAAAAGTAATTCTCAAGCGGTGAAACGTCGAAGATGGAGACATCAACCTCGCACGCTGTTAGAAAGTTTGCTGGTATGATCCGGACTGAGCGAAGGAAAGCAGCAGATGGGCAGACGGCGGTAACAATTTTAGGCGTAGCTGAAAGTTCTTTGGCATGTTCTTGGCATGCGATTGTTTGCTTACGTATAAGTAGGGTTTACTTATAAGTAAGGTATATTGTATGCAGGCATGCGGGTGCATCCGAACAATTCCATCACTGCAAACCTACATTCTTAAAATGTTTTTGCTAAGCCGAGAAAGCAGTAAATGTAAAATTTGCTTTGATTACATTTTGTTCCTTGGTATACGCGTTTTTGCTGTGCGGCGCTATAGCGCTGCTACGGTGAGCAAAAAACGCACACTGTCGAGACGTTGTCCATGTGTGTGTTCGGAAGCGAGTGAATTTTATCACCTACTATCATCCCAGCAACGAGGAAGGCTGGGAATTTTGAGGGCATATTCCCGCCCCGTTTTTCGGCTTCCCGTTTCAAAATCTTCGCTCATACACGGCAAGATCTCACGTACGAATCCCCGAAAAAACAAACAGATTTCTTTGGCAGGAAACGATTTC